GTGTGGAACGGGATCCAGGCAACGGAAGGCCACGTTGCCCTGGAAGGGGATGGGTGGATGCCTCAGAACAGGGAGAGCCAGCCAGGACTTGCCAGTAATATTCTCAATGGCTTAAGACCTCCAACCGTCACCCCCCCCCACCCCCCGGAGTATGTCTACATGTGTGTGAAAGGGACCCATGCGAGCCTGCCCTCTGGTCCTTTGTTTGCTTTTTACCACTAATCCCATAGTCCACAAAGAAAAAAAAAAATTCCCCCTTGGAGCGCTAAGGGCATTCCCATAGCAAAGATAGCAAAGTCGGATTTTGGCCTAAGGCTTTGGAGCATGCGCACACGCTCCAGTGTCGACCAAGAGGAGAGCCTATCGGAAGACTTCCCGTGACACTTCAGTGGCTGCTCATCTTTTAACTGACAGCTGGACGGGTTCGCGGCATTAACTGAGGAGTGAACATCGCTTGGGGGGGGGGGGCACACCACTGAGTGCTTGTATTCCCCGCCCAGGGCTGAGCGCGGATCCCATCCCAAACAGGACCCTTCTCCCCTCCGCCTCTTAACAGTGTCCCTGGCCCTCCCAGACAACCCTGCCCACTGGCCTCGAAGGTGATCCGCGGGTGGTGCTGCACGGCCAGGTCCGCGATGTCGATCCGGTTGTAGATCACGTTTTCTATGCAGCCGCGGAAGTTGTGCCGGTAGGCCAGGTTCTTCCGAGCTGCGCCCACCAGGCCCCCGATGAATATCTGCAGGAGGCGGGTGAAGAGAGGCTGCTCAGGGCCCAGCGCCTGCCTCTCCTGGGCGCGCGCACCAGGCCCGCTTCCCCCAGGACGCACACGCGCGTGCGCGCCGAAGCTAGGGCTTCGGGGTTGAGCCTCAAGGCCACCGCTAGTTGGCTGTAGGCCTTTCAGCTGGTCAAATTGTCAGATGCAGACGGAGAGAGGGTCGTTAGTGGTCGCGCGGAACTGTGGGAGGAGACTAGGGGACACTTCTCTACTTTTCCCGTTACCCCAGGTCTGGATTTCCAGACTCCCCTCACTCCCCCTACTGTCACGCTCCCCAAATGGTGCCCCACCCTCCGTCACCTCGCCGTCCAGGTTCAGCCGCTCGAAGTCGCCGTTGAGCACGAAGCGGTGGACGTAACCGTCCAGGGTGAGGTTCGCAGCTCGGCCGTAGCGGTCCACACGCACATAGTGCCAGCTTAGGTCGTTGAGCACGCCGCCGGCGCTCACCGTGGTGTGCCCGGGCCTTGGCTGGATGGGGCTGCTTCCTGAGGGCGGGGCAGAACCGAGTGAGGGCTCCAGCAGGCCCCAAGACAGAGCAGAGGCTACCCCGGACCCAGCCGAAGCCCAGAACAACGGGGACGCCATGGATAACCCGGAGGCCATTTACCCTCTCTAGGCTTTTCATTTATCTATCTATCTATCCACCTATCCATCTATCCGTCTATCCATCTATCCATCCATCCATCATCCATCTATCCATCTATCTATCTACCTATCCATCTATCTATCTACCCATCCATCCATCCATCCATCCATCCATCCATCCATCCATCCATCCATCTACCGGTGATCTATAAAACCCTGAGTAGGGCTGGAGAGATGCCTCAGTGGTTAAGAGCGCTGCCTGCTCTTCCAAAGGACCCGGGTTCAATTCCCAGCACCCACATGGCAGCTCCCAACTGTCTGTAACTTCGGGTCCAAGGGATCTGACACCTTCACACTAACGCATATGAGATAAACATTAAATGACTAAAAACCCTGAGTAGGACGGCTGCTTGTCTCTCACCACAAAGGTGTTAACGAAAACCGACTGAGACGGGGGGTGGGGGGGGGGATCGTTTTGTACGTCTGTGTTTGTCCCCGGGTCTTGTTCCGGGTCACCGCACGGTTGGTCGGTAAACCCGGTCCGCCTCTCCTGACTCCATTCCCCGCCGCCTTGCTGGCACCAAGCGAGCGCTACAAAGGGGCGGTGTAGGTGCGGCCAGGTGCAGGCTGGGCGGCCCCGAGGTGCTCCGGAAACTCACCCAGGCTCATGTGCAGCAGGAGGTGCGCCCCCTGCAGCTCGAGTGTCACGTAATCCCCCTGGGAGCCTTCGGTGTGCAGCAGCAGCCCGTCCTTCTCCTCCGTCTTGAAGCTGAAAGCGAACACGTCCCAGAGACTCTGGCTGACCCCTCGCTGGAAGCGGTAGGAGATGGCGTCGTCGCCGTCAAAATACAGTATGTTGGACGCTGCGCAAAGGATCGTGGGTGGGCGGGGGGCCCGGGGAGACGGTCCCCTTTCCCGGGGTCCTCGCCGCCCCCCCCCATCCCGGGCCTCCACACCCTTACTGTAGGGACAGCCGTAGAGGCCGAGCCGCAGGCCGATCTTGCCGCGCGGGTTCCAGGCCAGCGGCACGATGCGGATGTAGCGGGCCGTGAAATGGTAGTGCAGGTCGTGGCGGACCACCGCGGACTCGTTGACGTTACCGAAGAAGGTCTGTGGGGTTGGAAGAAACGGTAGTAACCGTACTCCCCGCCTTCCGCTTCCCTGGGAGGGGTGACTTCAAACTTCCCCAGTCTAGGAACTGGCTTCCCTGGTCTAGAGTGCCCTATTATTTTTTTTTCAAAGCGCAAATCTAGTGTCACCGCCTCCAGGAAGCTCTCCTAGCTTTTACGACTGAAGTGGGGGTTAATCCCAAGAGTAGGGTCCTAACCTGTGCCTGATGCTGTTCCCTCCCCTTCCCTTCAGGCTAGAGCCTAGCTCTGGGCCCAGAGCAGGGGGGCGGCTCCCCAAGGGAATGCGCCTGGGCGCCGAGAGTACCGCGTTGTGTCCTTGTTGGTAGAACGGTGTCCAGCTGTCCACACGGTCCCCGTAGAGCAGCATGTAACGGGTGACCCAATCCCAAGAATTAAAGGCTCCCTGTGTGGCCACGGCCCGGATCCGATGCTTCTTCATCAAATCTATCTGGAGCCAGGGATTCGGGTCCCCGATTCTGGGCGACCATCCGCTGATGCCTAGGGGAAGGGGCAAGGGCTTTTACCGCCCACTGCCTCCTCTCAGCTCTCTAGAGTGCCCCCTCCCCTTCCTGGCTGGGCAAACTCACCGTGCAGCCGGGCGAAACGGGCCGTGGTGAAGAGCCCATAGTAGGAGGAAGCGCCCAAGGAGCGCGCGTACAGAGGCCCCACCAGCTCCTCATTGCAGCCATCTGGGGGGGGGGGGGCGAGCTTGTGAACGGCTCCTCTCCCGAAGGCTGGGCCCCGCTTGGCCGTCTCTTCACTGCCCCCCTGTGGCTGACTCAGCCCCACCTGGAAGCCTCGCGCTCAACCTGGCTCTCAGCAACAGCTGCCCCCTCAGGGGAGCGCCTTCTTCTCCCAGGGTCAGTCCACAGATACAAAGCCAGACCCTTGCTAGCTCAGTGCCTGGCCCGGCTCAGCACTCCCCTCAACACAGTCCCCAAACTCCGGCGTATTGGGGAACCTTGGTGGGCCTCAGGACCCGAAACTAACCCCAGCCTTCCCATCAATTCCATCCCTCGGCCCTCCCCCACCGACACACGCGCCCGTCCTCCAATCAGACTTTGCTCCCAAGCCCACCCCTTCCCAATCCCGTTCTTAGCATCATCCTTGGCCTTCGTCAGGGTCACCAACTCCTATTTGGATTCTAGCCATAAAACCCAACCCCAGCCACAAACCCTGCCTAGCTTCCTGGCCCAGCTCCAAATCCTCGCCCCAGCCCTTCAGGGAAAAAAAACCTCAACTCTAACCCGGGTCACCAGTACGACGTTTGTAGCCAACCCTAACCTCAGACCCAGGCACTGTATCCCTCTTGGATTAACAGCTCCCAATCCCCTGGGCTAACTGGTTCATCGCCTCAGAGCCCAACCCTAGGCGCGCGCGCAGCAGCAGCAGCCTCCGAGCTGCATTGCGGAGCGCTGGGGAGAGGCAGGGAAAGATGGGAGCGAGCAGGGAAAGGTGGTGCACGGCCGTGGCTGCGGGGGGGGGACGACCTGCGACCACCTAGCCGCAATGCGGTGCGGGACTCACCCCGCGAGCTCTGGACCCCTGTCCCCAACCCCACCTGCCACTGAGGCCAGCACTCACAGTAGCCCCAGCCCCGAGCTCCAGAGACCACAGCGGCGAGCAGGATGCTGAGAAGCCGGAGACTCATCATGCGGAGCTGACCAGCCCTGGGTGTCTGCCTTGTTGTGCCCTGCTCCTGCTAGGGCTCCCGTTCTGGCTCAGGTCCCCAGCTTTTCTCCTGGGGTTCGCGGCTGACTGCTGATTTTTCGTCCTCACCCACCCTTCCCTCTCTCCTAACCCCCAATCTCTCTCTCTCTGTCCTTTCCTCTCCTCTCCTCCCCGTCTCCCTCTCCCCCTCCTCTCTCCCTCCTCTCTCTCTCCTCTCTTCCCTTTCTCCGCCCCCTTCCCCAGCCTCTCTCTCTCTCTCTCTCTCCTGGCACGCGCGCGCGTTTTCCCAGACCCCGCGCAAGCGCGTGCCTCGGCCCTATTGCGAAAGGGCGGGGTAGACAACCTGCCGCTGGGAAATACCCCAAGTAACCCAAGGCAGACAGGGACTGGTGTTGCAGGGTGGCAAAAGGGGGGGGGGTTGCAGACGGAGCCTGGCATTTTCAAGGAAAGAGCTTCGAAGATGGATGCCTTAGAGATGGAATGAAGGGCAAATTAAAAAAAAAAAATATATATATATATATATATATATATCATTTTTTCCCCCTGAAGGTAAATAGTGTTCCTAGCTCAGCACTGGACACTTCCACAACTGTGAATTCGGCATTTTCATCTTACTTCACCTTGCACGTGGAAAGCCCGAGGCTCAGAGAGGAAAACAAACCTCATTCAGGATCATACAGCCATTCTTTTTCCATCGGCAGGGACTAGATAGCAATCAGGCAGGCGAGGCGGGATGGGACAGCGTACCCGCAGACCCTAATCTCCACCCTCCCTCTTGGCCCTCCTCCCCACCCCTTCCTTCCTGCCCCACTAGTTATTTAACTTTAGCCCCTGTGGCTGTACCTCAGAAACCCTTTGTAGCCAGAGATGGGGACCGACACCACAGAGCAGGTGGGAGTCCGGGCAGGGAAGGGGAGAAGGGTTGCAGAGAGGGTGGGCGGGGGGGGGGGGGGGGAAGGACCGGGGTCCCCTTCCTCATAGCAAGCAGGCCCCTGTCATCTATGACCTGCGCAGGCGCCTACGAGTTCTGCTCAAGACCCCTTGGTGTGAACAATTTCAGCATGCCTGTGTGAGACCTAGCGGTAGGCTGGGGAGGAGAGAAGGGAAAGGACCCAGAAACCCTTCAGCCTAAGCTTGAAGCCAGTCTGGCGTCCAAGTCTGAAGCAAAGGCCTGCATCTGACCTTCCTTCCAGGAGAGGGCACTGCAAAAGGGAACAGAAACGAGTGCGACCGTTTATTAATAATACAAATGCTTGCTCTGAGGAGAGCTAGATGTTTCCATTATCTGGTATCTTCCATCTTCTCGACAGTCCTCACTGCCGGCTTTGCCAGCTGGGCTGAATAGGGCTTTCTAGACTGGGCGCAGCACATTCTATAACTAAGGTCCAGACAGAGCAAGTGGCTTGCTCAAGGTCACGCTGGAAACAGAGCTAGGGGGACTTGCAGGAGAAACAAGCAGGCAGTTCAGGGTACCCTAGAGTGAATCTGGAGGGCTCTTGATGTCTTCTCCTGATGTTGGGGCTCCGAATGAGGAAGTCCTGCGGGAATACGCCTTACATGGCCCCTCCTCTCATTTTCATGCCGCCAGGTCTCCTGGGAACCCTACTCTGGGTATGATGAGGAGGCTTACTCAGCTGGGCCGTTGCCGGAACTCTGTTACAAGGCGGATGTCCAGGCGTTTAGTCGGGCCTTCCAGCCCAGTGTCTCCCTGATGGTGGCTGTGCTGGGTCTGGCCGGCAATGGCCTGGTGTTGGCCACCCATCTGGCAGCGCGTCCAACTACCAGATCTCCCACCTCCGTTCACCTGCTTCAGCTGGCCCTGGCTGACCTCCTATTGGCCCTGACCTTGCCTTTTGCTGCAGCAGGTGTTCTTCAGGGCTGGAATCTAGGAAATGCCACCTGCCGAGCCATCTCCGGCCTCTACTCGGCCTCCTTCCACGCCGGCTTCCTCTTCCTAGCCTGTATCAGCGCCGACCGCTATGTGGCCATCGCTCGAGCCCTGCCAGCCGTCCAGCGGCCGTCCAGGGCTGGCCGTGCCCACTTGGTCTCGGCCTTCGTGTGGCTGCTGTCGCTGCTCCTGGCTCTACCTGCACTCCTCTTCAGCCAGGACCGGTCACGGGAAGGCCAGCGGCGCTGTCGGCTCATCTTCCCCGAAGGCCTCACGCAGACTGTGAAGGGGGCGAGCGCAGTGGCGCAGGTGGTCCTCGGCTTCGCGCTGCCCCTGGGCGTCATGGTAGCCTGCTACGCGCTCCTGGCCCGCACGCTCCTGGCCGCCAGGGGGCCCGAGCGGCGGCGCGCGTTGCGCGTCGTGGTGGCCCTGGTGGCGGCCTTCGTGGTGCTGCAGCTGCCCTACAGCCTCGCCCTGCTGCTGGATACGGCCGATCTCCTGGCCGCCCGCGAGCGGAGCTGCTCCTCCAGCAAACGCAAGGACCTAGCCCTGCTGGTCACCAGCGGCCTGGCGCTGGTCCGCTGCAGCCTCAATCCGGTGCTTTATGCCTTTTTGGGCCTGCGCTTCCGCCAGGACCTGGGGAGACTGCTACAGGGTTGGGGATGCAGCCCGAAGCCCAACCCCCGAGGCCGCTGCCCCCGCCGGCTCCGCCTTTCTTCCTGCTCCGCTCCCACCGAGACCCACAGTCTCTCTTGGGACAACTAGGGCTCCAATTCCAGAGAAGGGGGTGGGGGGAGGGATGAGGAAAAGATCCCAGGGCGGGTGGTAGAAAGGGGAGTAAGGGCGTGGGGTGGGAGGATGTTGAGAAAGACTTCAGAACCTAAAGAGATTGCCTCGGCGCTTCATTAAATCGACACAACGCAAATGAGCTGCAACCCAACGACTGTTACTATTTTTGAGTCACGACGAGTTGCAGCAGGACCCAGACACCGGGTCACACCCCCACGCCCCTGCTTGAGCCTGAGTGGGAGGCGTGGGGGAGGGGAGTGCTGAGTCGGCTAAAGCTTTGAGCGCGGACACTCCCTCTTGCCTTCCCTCCGGTCTCTGCCAACAGAGGTGAGGTGGGAAAGCTGCCAGGTGAGGAGGGGCGGGGTTCCTCCGGAGTCAGTGGAAGGAAGGGCTTTCTAACAACCCTAGCGCAATCCAGTAATGGCTGCTTTAGCAAGTACTTAGTTCCCAGCAATGTGAGATGCCCGGGGGGTGATGATGTTGTCCCAAACTGTTTGTGTGTGGGTCTGGCCTGGAGGTAGGGGTTAAGAAGCAAGAGATTCTAGTTAAGGGTGTTTTGTTTTTGTTTTTGTTTTTTTGGATCTCGTCCAAAAGTTCTGCAATGGAAAGAAAGACACTCACTAAAAAGTTGAGTCTGATGGTGTGTTACCTGAAGCCCCAGAGGCCGAGGCAGGAAGGTCAGGAGTGAGATCTTGCCTAAGAAGAAAAGAAATAGAAAGTAAAATGTTGAGTTGGAGTTTTTTACCTAGGATTAAAAAAAAAAAAAAAAAAAGTGGGAGGTGGGGGAGGAGGTGCCGGACTTCGGTTTGCAAATTTCCCAAGAGGAGTTACTGGGCGTGGGTTCAAAGTGTGGCGTGCCCTGCTGTCCATTTCCCCTTGGGACCAAATCAAAGGAAATGCACTGAGCTTGCCGGGAGAGAGGAGGTGAGGTCTCGGCGAGAACTCTCCTGCGGGCAAGCGTCTAGGACCTTGAAGAGGAAGGAAGGAGGCTCCGGCCTTCGGAAACCTCAGCACACACCACTTCAGGAGGGCTTCTGGGGATGCTGCGTTCACTTCTGGCCTTTGCTCTGCGCAGTCACAACTGCCAGAGTTGTGCTCAAACGGGACAGTTCTCCCAGTTCAGTATCCGGTCAGGGAAGCCAGACCCTCTACTCTCCGGGCGAAAAGGGCGTGGCGTGCAGGTCCCCAGGGAGGCATTGTCCCGCCCAGCCCGGCCCAGCCCGGCCCAGCCCGTGCATCCTGGAGCCTCGGGCAGTAGAGACTTAAAACTTGGCCCTCTTGAAGCCCAAAGCAAGAAAGGGCCCCCAAACTGCGCAGTCCTCCAAGGGGCGCAGGCTACCCTCCGCAGCCGACCTGGAACCCTCCGCCAGTGACCGCGGGAATCGCCTGAGTCAGCACCGCGCGTGCCCGCGGTCCCCGCCCTGGACTCCTGGCGCCCTCGTTAACCCCTTCTTGCTCAGAAAGGCAGCCTATCTGCCCCGAGAGGCCTCCGATTCATCTCTTCTCAGAGACCGCAGATTTTCCTTGCATGCCAAGACACTCTCCCATTCGGTGCGTCGTAAATTCCCTTTTATTCCAGGTTTGTAGCTGAGGCTTCCCCCCCCCCCCCCCCCGCCCCGGAGTTCCTGTCTTAGCTTTTTCACCTGAACAGTGGGGTGACTAAGATCTAAAGCTGGACCCTTTTAGCGCCGAGGATGGGGAGCTGCCCCTGCAGTTTACCCTCACGCGCAGGTGGGAGGTGCCTCGCGGGCCCTGAGGCTCTCTGCTTCTGCAGGGAGTCCGAGGCGTGACGGGTCATCACGGGGCAACAGCCTGGCTCCTCTCTAACCTTGCGCCCTCCCTTCCCCAGACCTTCCAAGAGGTGTTTTTTTTTTTTTTAATTGGCTGCTCGGTGAGCCAAGAGTTAAAACAAGAGCACGGAGGCGGGCCTACATGACGCCACAGGCACCCCTCGTCCGACCTCAGAAGCTTGGGGCGTGGCTAGCGTCGCACCGCCCACCCCCTCCCCGGCCTCCCCTCCCCCGCCCCTCCCCACTGTCACTCAGCCAGAGGCACATGATGCAACCCGCCTCGGTTTCAAGCGCGGGATTGGTGGCCCCGGCCGGCGCCAGACACACGGATTGGGCAGAGGCTGCAGTGACGGACCCGTAGGCCCTACCCCGTAAAAAGAAGGGAGGAGAGAAACAGGGAAGGCGGAGGGAAGGAGGGGGGAGAGAGGGAGGCGGGGTCCGGAGCTCTGCTCGTGCCCCGAGCGCGCCAGTCCCGGGGCTGCAGGGAGCGCAGCGCGCGCCGCCCGGGCCCGGGCCACCGGACGCCCTACCGGACACCACCCTCGCTGGAGCTTGGACAAGAGCCCGCCACGGACACTGCACCGGACACTGCTCCTCACAGGGCTGGACACTGCAGCGGACACTGCTTCCCAGCTCCGGACATTGCTCCCTGGCTCCCTTCCCCCGGCCCTGGACTCCCCCCCTCCCCCTGCCCGGGCCCAGACATCGGGGGGCCCCCCAGCAGGCTCTGGCGATCGTCCTCTTGCACCTCGGCGCTGGACACTGCCGTCTCGCGGCCCCCTTCTCTGCCCTCCTCGCACCTCGTCCCTGGCGCGTTTGGTCCGAGCACCCTCCAGTCTCACCGATCCCCTGCTGCTCGGGCAACGCTGCCCGCGCCCCCCATTCCCCGGCTGCTCGCCCGGATGCCTCTCCCCGGGGGATTGTGGTGGCTCCTCTGCTGCCGTCGAGGCTTCACTCTCCTGCACCGGGACTACGGCGACGGCGAGCTTAGCGGGGACGGGGACGAAGACGAGGACGACGAGACCTTTGAGCTGCGGACCCCGAGCCCAGCGGGCGGCGGGAGGGTAAGTCTGGAGGGATTGAGAACGGTGTTCAGTCCTTACCACAGCCGGTCGCCACGCCTGATCCTGTTCCATACTTGGGCCCAACTGGAAATGGAGGGGAGATTCTTGTCTGGAGGCCAAGAGCCCCGGAGTTCCAGGGGCAAGCGGCCCTACTTGGGATGTGCCTGTGGGCCTCGCACCGCGCACAGGGCGCTGTCCACCTGCTGGGGGCCCTGAGGCAGAGGAGGCGTCACGCGTGGCCCGACCTGGCCCTGCCTCTCCCTTCCCTGCCGGGCCCGCGTCCCATCGCGTCTCCTTCCGCCTCCGCCAGAGCCAAGGAATGTGGAGAGGCCGGCTGGGCGGCTCGAACGCCTGGGTTCGCTCTGCTCACAGTTGATGAGCGCTGGGGCCAGATGCGGGAGCCCTCACCGCAGGAACGCGGGCGAGGGGGAAAAGACATCCTAGAATTGGGGTCTGCACCGGGGATCCCGCCAAGGAAAAGCTGGGGACGGTGGCCCTTTGAGGACTTCTCATTATCCTGCCATTTAAGACAGAACTCTCTGCCTTCTCTGGTGAGGCTTCCGGGGAACCCTGAGGGAATGGCGAGGGTCACTTGACTGCTGGGTTTTTGTTTTGTTTTGTTTTTTAAATCAGATCTCCCCCGGGGAGACACTGAAACACAATTGGCCTGTGAGACGTCCATCCTTCCAGAAGCCCTCCCTCACGCCCTTACCCACCTGAAGCAACCAGGCTTCTGTGTGCTGTGGCCTGGGTCAGGCTCCCATCCCCCTCACCCCCCACCCCCGCTCAGGGGTCCCCCAGCAAGCCCGGTGGCTCCATTCCTGGGTGGGGCAGGCTGCACCGCAGCCAGCTCCGGCGCCAGCACCTGGCGAGGCAGAGGGCAGTTAAATATAGAGGGGAGGAGCAGGGAAGCAGGGGACTGCGATTAGGGGAGTTTGGTCTGGGGGGGGGTGAGATCAGTACCTGCCCTCTGAGGGTGTGTGGATTGTCCTGCTCAGGACCTCCAGAGAAGAAGTGAGTGAGTCCCCAGGGAGGGAGGGAGACCTAGGAGTACCCGAACTTCCAGCATGGGAGGCTCTCTGTCAAATAGGCCATGGCCTCCCTCATGCCCCACCTCCACCCCCTCCTTGGAGCTTGGGGACAGGTGTCCCTGGCCCTCCCCCTCCATTCGCCCTGGCTTTAGCCGTCTGGGCGCAATGGGACCATGGCATAGTTCCTGTCTAGCTAACTTGGCTCTGGGTTGGTTTTGAGGCCTCCCTCAAACCCCAAAGTCACAAAAACTGAAGTTCTTGGGCAGGGGTTGGAAATGGATTGTGTGTGAGAAGGGCAAAATTCCAAACTACCCCTGACCTGAGGAGTATGTTGCTTAGCAGCCTCCTTCCCTTCTAAGTCTAAGCCCCAGAAAAAGGGTAGCGTGGTGTCATCTTCCTCAGGGATGTCTGCAAAATAGCCTACAAGGCTCTTGGAAAAAGTCTTATTATATAAAAGGATCCCTCTTTCAACTCTGTGCCCACCCCTAGCCCAGTCTTGGGTCCTGCACTTTCCCTGGGAGCCCCATTTTCTCCCCTGGAAGTCCTGAGCAAAACAAGAAGGGTGAAGGAAACAGGTGAAGAGGCTTCCATGGGTAGAAGAGACCTCGTCAAGCACATCACCAGTTCCTAAGAGGGAGAAAATAAGCCCCAGAAGTGGGAGGGGACTCAGGCAAGGTATAGCAGTTGCCTAGTGGCTCAGTTGGTAATAGAACCTGGTCCTCCTGACCCCCAGCCCTGTGGCCCCAACTCCCAGCTCTCATGATTGCATTGTCAAAGGGCTATGGAGAGAAGTCTAGACCTCTTTTTTTCTCGGGCATTCTCTAGTGGTCCACGGAGACCTGTATGTAGAAGGGACCATCCCAGAGTGGCTCTGGCTCTTCCCACCCAGTCACGATGTGGGACCTCAGGCACTCCTTCCTCAATCCCTTAATGAGAGCCGTCCTGGGCTCACGAGAAACCACCGGTATTGGGGGGAAAGGCCTCTGAGTGTCTACCTGCCTCTCTCCTTAGGGTTCCCTGGACGTTACGCTGACTCAGCCAACAAGGAGTGGGCCGGTCTCAGACAGGTGAGCTTCTACCCTGAGTCCCTTGGTTCGGAGACCGC